TTCTTTTACATTTAGTTCGACTAAAACGTGACCACCCCCCTCAACCCGTGGTGTGTGCCCTAAGGATTTCGAGTTTGTGTATGCGGAGGAACTCTCTTCCCCCTCCAGCCAACTCATCACAGAGTCATGCTCCTTTGTATCCTTTTATTCCTTCGTCCGGGAAGAGCTCACAAGGCAAATTACCAGAACGTTTAACGTCGTTCAAGGAGAATAACTAGTTTCATCACAATAATTTGGCGCGATGGCCAACTTTTAATTACCAAACATCCACATATCACTCACTGCTCGGAATAAAGAAAAACATGAAGAGTTCTCTTTCCTGAGATATAAACCATGTAGTCCCTTAAAGTCAACCGACGTTTCGGAGGAATAAGCCAAGCGATAAACCAGCATGAAGCAGACAGATGGTCTCTTTTTTGGCTTACTCTTCGACCCTGAAGATGGTGGCCATATTTTCCTACGAAATCTCCGTTAATGTTACGGGACTGCATGGTGTTATAACACAGGGGACAGAGATCCTCATAACTACTGATGTTCGAACCTCAAATCCTACAAAGAAAAACATGTTCAATACGTTCTGATACAAGAAAAGAAAATTTAATGTATACTGAAAGACGAAAAATTGCATAAAAATGGTTTGGAATTACAGCTTTTTTGTCTAATTACTCATAAAGTTTATTATTGTTATTGATGTTGCTGCTGCTGTTGACTGTCCGATGCACGGCCAGACAAATGTTTCTTTTTATTGCTAGTGGGGTGGGACTAACCCTTGTACTGCGGCCACTTCTGGCCTACTGTATCAGCCCCAGATGATAGGTGAGGGTGATTGTGGAGCAATTGGTGGAATGAAGATTGGCAGGGGAAACCGAAGTACTCGAGAAAACCTGCCCCAGCGCCACTTTGTCCACCACAAATCCCACTTGACCAGACCCGGGATCGAGCCCGGGCCTCCGCGGTGGGAAGGCAGCGACTAAGCGCTTGAGCTATGACGCGGCCAGACAAATGTTTGGAATTTTGTTCAACATCGACGGCAACATCTCCCTGCACTGTACTGGGAGAGCAATGTTCTCCCAACGGCGCCTATGGAGATTATTGACTTCTGGATTGTATAGTTGTTTAGACTGTTAACGACGTTTCGGAGATACATCCCGCCTCCATCTCCAGGGTATACTGAAGGCAGCATTACAGCCTGTCACATCTGAGAGGTTAGCAGTCTTCAGGAACTATTCACCGTATAACAGCACAGAGAGCCGGAGCTTTCTGAACCAACATTTACTTGCAAATTTCGAAATTACTAACTTATTCTACTAAGAATTGAATATTGGCCGCGCCATAGCTCAAGCGGTTAGTCGCTGGCTTCCCACCTCGGAGGCCCGGGTTCGATCCCGGGGTCTGGTTAAGTGGGATTTGTGGTGGACAAAGTGGCGCTGGGCCAGGTTTTCTCCGAGTACTTCGGTTTCCCCTGCCAATCTTCATTCCACCAATTGCTCCACAATCACCCTCACCTATCATCTGGGGCTGGCACAATAGGCCAGAAGTGGCCGCAGTACAAGGGACTTAGTCCCACCCCACAAGCAATAAAAAAAAGAACTGAATATTTATCATTCGGTGCGGTGTCATATTTTTGAAACAGAGAAAATATTATTTGTGTAATTACTCTCATTATTGTTATTTATTTACAATTCAATTCTCTTTGTACCAATGGCTAAGAACTTCATCACAAGACTCTTAAGATTTTACTTTAAATTCTCCCACAAGTTTATATGTCTTAACAAGAAAAAACATTTTGTTTTCAATGAATGAGCTACCGACCAAGGCGTAGGTGGGTGGACAATATTAGAATGGATCTTAGAGAGATAGGATGAGATGGTATGGATTGGATTGATCTGGCTCAGGATAGGAACCAGTGGAGGGCTCTTGTGAACACGGTGATGAACCTTCGGGTTCCATAAAATGCTGTGAAATTCTTGAGTAGCCGCAGAATTGGCGACTCCTCCAGAAGGGCTCAGCTCCATGAATAAGTAAGTAAATGGATGAGCTACCATTCTAAATTGCGATCAACTGGGTTGACAGTATAAATAGGGGAGGGAGAACTTTTGACCTACATTATTTCTCGTCTTGTTTTAACTTTCTCCAATAAACAGATTTCGTTTATTTGGTGATGTCTTCCTTCCGACAAACACGCCTTCATAGCTCAACGTGGCAGTGAGCTGCTCCAGGTACCAACGAAATATGTTTTCAGTAACGAACAGAATAACAAATAGCCTTTGTCGGCTTGTAGCTTGTCGTGGCACGCTTGTTAGTTCCCTACTAAAATGGTCTGCACAATAACATTAGCAACCAATTAGGGAGAGTACCAGTACGTTGCCATGGTAACAGTATGTGATGGGATGACCCAGTACATGACACAACGTGTGTACTACCAGGCAAAGCAATCTCCCTGGTGGAGTCTCTGCATGGCGAGACGGGTGTAACTTCCCTATATTGCTGCTAGACTGATGTCGAGGTTATTTTTTTATTTGAAAACTAATTAGTAGAATCGTGACTAATTTAATTTGCTTCTGCTCGACCCTACAGTTCGATTACACCATTTGCCTTATTAAGAGGGTGGGCATGCGGTAGCGTGGTTGGTTGAGGCACTATGCTACAAGCCGGAAGGTCGCGGGTTCGAGTCCCTATGAGGTGGATTTTTTCTTGCAATTTACCTAATCCTTCCAGTCGCACTATAGCACTGGGGTCGACTCAGTCTCTAACAGAAATGAGTACCAGGAATCTTCATAGGGAGTAAAGGGCGGCTGGAGCGTAAGGCTGACAACCTCACCGCCATCTGGGGACCGATTGTCTAGATAATGTGGGACCCTAAACTTTTCACAACCCTATGGGCCTCCATGGCCTGTTACAGGAATAGCTTTACTTTTACCTTATTAAAAGGTAAAGTTGTCCCTGTTTTATGCACCATAATACGATTGCATACAGGGGGCATGGAGGTAAACCTTAAAGCGTTCCTAACCTTGCAACTGTATGTAGAAAGTCACCTTCACAACCCAGTTGCTTTACCTTTGGTCAAGACTCATGCACCACCCGGATAGGGGTTGAATGGGAGACACAAAAGGCAAAATTTTGAAAATGGGGAAAAACCCAGCCCCTGTTGAGAAAACAGGATATCTCAGTCGGTATAGCGACCGCCTACGGACTGGAAGACCGGGGTTCGATTCCCGGCTGAGGCAAGAGATCTTTTTTTTTCTACTCCACAGCGTCCAGACCGGCTCTGGGGCCCACCCAGCTTCCTATCCAATGGATACCGGTAACAAAGCGACAGGAGCGCGAAGCTGAACTCTCACCTCCATGTGGTGCAATACAGCGCTTAGTTAATTAGTTAAGCACAGGGACAACTGCATATTTTTACCCATCCCCTGCTAAGAACATCATTCCTTTCTTACGGTCCATGGTATCCTCGCTTTACTGACCAAGTTATTCTGTTCTTGTAATGATCTTAAAATCTTGCTTTGAAAAGTCAATGGAAAAATTTGTGTTTTTTTTTTGTATTTAGTTTACATGTTCGCACTTGTAAGAGGTGTGATATAAAGATAATAATATTGTTACTACTTGCTACATCACATGAAGATTGAATTACTTCGTCCCTGAAAGAGGAGAAACAGGCGAACTATAGAGAAATTCTGACATTTGGAGTGTGTGACCGACTGCCTCTCCTCTTCTCCCCTTTCCAACAAGTGGAGACCGCGCTGGGTTCCACAGTCGTGCAGAACACACAAAGTACAAATATAAATCACATGGAACATTAGTATACAAAGTTCTGTACGGACTTTTAGCATACGAAGGAGCCTGGAATCGAGTGATACAGCGAGAGACAAGTTCCTCGTAACGATGACCGGCTCCTTAATTGTAAGCAACCGCTTCAACAAATCTTTGGGGGAAAAGGCACAGAGGAATAAGTTCAAATTGAATTCCTTTACCGAATATCTTCTTACACATTATTTTTGTTTATTTTCGGCTTTCTAGTTCATCTCATTGCTCTATTTTCCGTATGGACTGCACAACGAATAACCTTATTTAATAAATTAATTATGACATTTTCCATAACTACAAGTCGGAAGGTCGCGGGTCCAAATCCCGATGAGGTCATTGGATTTATTTCAGTTGACCTAATACTTCCAGCCGCACTAGGCCCTGGGGTTTACTCAGCCTCTAACAGAAATAGGTACCAGGAATTAATTAAATAATTTTCCTGGGGAGTAAAGCGCGGCCGGCGCGTAAGGCTGACAACCTTACCGCCATCTTTGAGCCGACTGTCTAGATAATGTGGGACCCTCAACGTCTCACAACCCTATGGGCCTTCACGGACTGGTACAGGGATAGCTTTACTTTTTTTTTTTACACTTGCAACAACTCCCGTCTCTGCGGATTTTTAAACGCTAAATGTACACGGTTGCAAGATGGCTTAAGGATTACAGTTTCTGTTAAATCGAATTCTGATTCCCTACGTTAAGAATGTGGGGGGGGGACTTACCATTTCTCTACACAACTTCATAGAGTAATTCTTAACAAACAATAAACGCAACACAGATTGATGCGACAACATCCATTTCATGATTACAGTATTCTCTGCGTTATCCTCCGTTAGTATATTCTGATTTAAAGCAGAACATTTTAAAGCTTTGTGTTTATTTGTTGATTCTTTTATTTCTTAACGCTTATTGTTTCAGGTTCTGGGATCTTGCTTCCAGATTCAAAGCGGCAGGAACCTGAAGACAATCTATCAGTATTTACTTCCGAGGTTTCCTCTACACGCCCCGGCCGCTTTTCTTGCGGGAAAGAGCCTCCGGTACCTATTGGATAGGAGNGACATTCTTCAAGCTGCAAAATATAATTCATAACATATTCTCTTTCGTTTGAATTCACATCTTCATGAAAATCGTAAGGTACGCTGAAGTACTCTCCAGCCGTGTTTCCGTCCTTTGAAGTGAAAGCGGAGTACTCACCGGAGACGGGGCATGTGAGGGAGCTCTTTGTCTGACGTATCAACCCAGCGGATCTCGGGTGGTGGGGTGCCGTGAGCTGAACAACTGAGCATCGCACCCGTCGAGTTGGAAAACTCGAGCCATGGCGGCGGCTCCTGTAGAAACACGGGGCCCTGGATGTGAGGGGACATTGCCGAAACACCTGTAAACAATTGAGTAGAGGCTCACAAAAACGTTCTATTTTGTAGGATTTTTACGTTACGTGGCTAATATATCACTAAGAACATCTAGGGTGAGCATCCGTGTGAAAATTCAGTTACAACGAACATTTCAAGAAACTTGCTCTGGTCGCAAGAAACTGGTTTGCGGTCGTAATAAGGACCACGTAACCTGTCTCTGCTTTCCAGTCGCCAAAACCCTACACACATTCGCAAGGACGCACAAGCACACATAAGGGTCTCGCAGTCGCTCTCCAAGTTGGCACTGATGGAGACAGAGGGTTGCACCGAAGCGATATTCATCTGAACTCTGAGGAGAAGTCGGACCATGGTTCATGTGTCTTTGTGTTAAGAGCCACCCCTGTGCTGTCCTACCGACATCACTTCTTAGGACTCTTGTGTGTTTGCGGAGCTTTTTGTCAGGTTTCATTACTTCCTGCCTACTCCAAGCTACTTTCAAAACGGTAATAGACGAAGGTGGGAAAAGAAAGAAAAAGAGGAAAGAAAAATGGGATACATTGGCCGAAATGCAGCCGGACAGAAAGAATGAATAAGATAAGGAACATAAAACAAGTATGAAAAGAGAATGAGAATGAAGAATCTGGGGGAAAACATTTAAGGATAAGGAAAAATGTAGAAGGAAAAGGATAAGCAGAGAAGTAAAATATTAAAATGAGACAGGATAAAGAATAAGGCGAGAGGAAGAAATATGCATAAATGATAGAGATGAGAGCGGTGTAAAATGAAGACAACTGAGAATGAAGAACACAAATACACGAAGAAATCATTTGAAACTAGCTCCGTATTATAAAGCATTCCTTCAAGAGTTGTTAATTATTCAGTGACAAATAAATATTTTTCCATGAGCCTTAATAATCATAATCGCCATAAAGCATGTCACTATTAAAATACAAGTATATCTTCAATCAGTCGAAGAAATGAAAGCAGAAGAACGTGAAGGAAGAATGAAAAGTTGGAAAGAACAGGTCGTGAGGATAAGATGATTGCGGGGTACCGTAAATTGTTTCTAAGTGCGTAGAACTCCTACTTAATACTGCGGCATATAGACCCATTGCTAGGTAACGACCGTAAACTAAGCAACTATATAATAGCCGATGCTAAGTGAAACAAAGGAATAGAAGCTGATGCAGATAATAGAGATAAAAAACCCACAGTTTACACTAAGAAAAAATTTAAAACTAACAAAATTCGAATTGCCTCTGTTACCAACCCCCACTTCGAGATTAACTCTATCCACTCTTGCGTCTCATCTACAAGTATTCACTAAGAAAGCAAGTAAAAAAGTTAAAATCTTTGTTGGATATCAGATTATGCTGCATCTTTTAATTAATCCGCACAGTAGAAAGAAGGTCGAGTTAAAGTGGACGATAAGAGAACAATCAAGGACAGACGAACGTTGCTTTCAGGTGAAGACTGATGAACTCGATCCTACCCCTTTCTGTTCTTATCCCCAGGAACCACTCAATCTTACCAGTCGATAAAACCGCTCAGATGTGCTTGCAGCAAACAGCAAGCCAAGCTTTTTCTGCCATCACTTTCCCGCCAACTAGAACACGTCCCAGCCGGTTAAAGTTTCATAATCCTGTTATTAAACTTGTCACTCAGAAATATATATATATCTGGTATGGATATGGGTGGTTGGTTATTTGGGACGATCACAGGGGACCTTCGAATTTCGTAACAAAAAGAAATGTCGAAACCTGATCAAGGAAAATATTCCACGGTTACTTTGCTACTTGTTTATCTGTTTTTAATAGGACAACATTTTCTTGCAGTAGTGGATGTATAACTCCATGCTTTCTCAACCTTGGCACCAAATGGAAGTGAGTGATTGGCTTCACCTTCCAGCAGCTTTACCCCCGGTGAGAGAACCTTCAATACCGATCGGAAGGCCGGGTAGCCTCCACAGACGTACTCGAGGCGGTGGAGAAATAAATTTCTTCTACTGCCAGGAACCGAACCATGATTCGCCGGTCATTCTTCTTGTAGCCTAGTAACAATAACGACTGGCCGCACCATAGCTCAAGCGGTCAGTCGCTGGTTTCCCACCGCGGCGGCCCGGGTTCGATCCCGGGTCTGGTCAACTGGGATTTGTGGTGGACAAAGTAGCGCTGGGGCAGGTTTTCTCCGAGTACTTCGGTTTCCCCTGCCAATCTTCATTCCACCAATTGCTCCACAATCACCTTCACCTATCATCTGGGGCTGCTACAATTGGCCAGAAGTGGCAGAAGTACAAGGGACTTAGTCCCACCCCACTAAAAAAAATAACCATAACGACCAGTCTACCATAATTCTTCTTACTTTATTTAATAACGCTTTATCAACTGCATAGGTTATAGGACTACGTGTCGAATGGTGTTATTGTCAATGGCGAAAGAACAACGTTGAAGAGACCAGCTGTAGAGTAGTGTACTGTAATGTCTCGGTGTGAAGTTTTAGTGACGCGCCATACAATGCAGTGTTTAATATTTGAGCAGGATTGTACAGGATCAAAACTCGTCGCGTAACGCTGTGATGATGAAACTGAACAGACGTCAGCTGTGGATACATTGCAGCTTTGATGTCGCGATTAACGGAAAACGTGTCAGCTGAAATGCCTCTCGTACCAAGTGGACAGAACTCTGACCTCTCGAAATTGTGCCTATTGCACGAAGAAGCACAGTGTACTATTCCATGATGATACATTATGATTAATTGATTCCGTACCATTGTGTCCATAGTACCGCATGGAGATGTGGCTAACGTGTGATCCTCTATTACAGGACTAACAATACAGGAAGCCGCATTAGACTGTCAACGCCTAATGGTATTTCAGATACTCAAGGATGCTTGCAATGATGAGGTCATATTTTTTTACATCTAAATAAATCAACAACTATCTGACAGAGTGACTAACTAACCAGCCAACTCTGAAGACTCTAGAGATTCTAGAGTCTTCAGAGTTGGTTGGTTAGAGTCTAGAGTCTAGAATTACAAAGCCGTTTAGTCGTTTAAAAGTAATATGGCTGTTCAAATGAAACCTGTTTCGGGCGCTCCTAGCGAACACTGATCGGCAGTCAACCATGAACTATGCAACAGAATGGTTGAGCTAGAAAGAATAGGAACAGTGTGACGTAGTTAAATGATAACTTTCAAAGTGTATAATTCGTCCAGAAACGTTTAATGTGACGTCATTGAGTATCTTCATTGAAAGGGTTTCATTTAAACATCAGATCTATTAGCTCACAGTCTGAAAATATGTTTGCCCTCAGTGTCCATTAACTGGCCTATGGAGAGCGAGGAAACGTATTTAATAACTAGCCACTGTTTAGAAAATTAACTTATCAAGCCAGATATTAACTAATAAATTAATTAGCTAATCTACCACGTGGTAGTTTCGACAGAGGGAAGTATAGAAACTCAAAAGTGGACAAAATCCTGGTCATTTAATCTTATACCCTTCCCAAAGCCTGTTCTTTCAAGATACATTAAGCCATTTGAAGCATGACATTACTGGAAGAAAAACTGAAAACTCCAATTTCTGCTTCACAGAAAGCACAATGCGTCTCCTTTGCAAAGACCATCAAATTACTGTTCATTCAGGAAACTATTACTCTTTGTTGTGAGAATGATATAAAACTCACAAACACAAAATGTAGGAAAATGGAATTTCTATATATCTTCATGGCAGAGTTTACGTATATTATTTAAATGGGTAATATTGGTGTTGGGTGGGTTACTGTGGAGGTTTGCGCCACTATATCTGTATTACTATATGCTGATCAGAGTAGTGGTGTATATAAGCATAGAAGGTATATCAATTCTAAATTCATCATCAATCGATAATCAGCCAATATGAATATTCTCCTGTCATTTTCATTTCTGTTTTCCAGGTGGCCACTTTCACTATCAAAATTTTGCATGAGTTTTCGTTTCTCCCATCCGATCACAAGTCCATTCCATTGTGATCTTCCTGATTAAGCACTCTAACAATGCGCATCAGTCAGTTACATTGGCCGTGCAGTTTACTGTAACTGTAACGGATATGCAAAAATATGATTGCTGGTTCAATTCCCGTTCGAGGCATGTCTGCGTACATTACAGCCAATCTCCAGCTTGCATTTCAATAAAGTATCATCCGCAAAGCAAGTGATATGCATTACGAGTAGATTTGTAACAATACTTTGGTTTAGAATATATATATATATTCTTTCAATTTATTTTTATTTTTTTAACTTATGTTTCAGCAAATGCAATGCCAGTTGTATTTTATTTTTGTTTTCACTGTGCTGTTATTTATGTAGACATGTCCAGGTTTTAAATTACTCCACGATTAATTGGACTTTTACATCATATTTGCAAAATTAATTATTATAAATTTGAAGATATTTTTATCGCGGTGAATGCTGTACGTAAATTCGCCATGATTTTCCGTCACTACCACGTATTTCAAGGAAAAAAACAAACGAATTACACGAAGATTTATGTCAGTTACATAGTTCGAGACCTAGACAGGGCACGACCTCCAGAAGACTGGCTTCCTATGAAATCACGTAATTATGAATTACAGAATTTGAAGTTTACACTACAATATAATTTTGTTAGACAATTGACAATTTTGCAGTTTATATGCAAGGAATAGGCTCTTCACTAGGCATTATTTTCGTGAAGTTATTAACTCGTAACAATTCTTCTGCGTTTGTTCCGCTTGCCCCCTCCTTCTTACTGGCTTCTTGCTTGACTCTTCCTTAGTTTCACTGGGTGGGGTGAGGTTATGTACACTTGGTATGTCGGCCACTAATTGACCTATTGTACCAATCCCGGATGATAGATGATGATGATGGATATGGAGCAGTCGGTGGAATGAGAATTGACAGGGGAAACCGAAGTACTCGGAGAAAACCTGCTCCATTGCTCCTTTGGCCACCACAAATGCCACATGAACTGACTTGAGATCGAACCCGGGCTGCCGCGGTTGGAAGCC